TGTGTGTGTGTGTGTGTGTGTGTGTGTGTGTGTGTGTGTGTGTGTGTGTGTGTGTGGGTGTGTGTGTGTGTGGGTCAAGGAGGCGCACCTGATGGCAGCCCCCAAGTTCGGCCGGCAGGAGGGACAGCAGCAGCACATCGCAGCCATGGTCCACGTAGATTGTGGTCCCCTGGGGGGGTGGCAGCATCGCGGAGGCAGAATCCTCCTGGGGGGTGGGTGTCATTGCACCGACACCAGGTAGTGGGGCAAGCAGCACGCGGCAGCGCCGCAGCCCAGCAAGCGACAGGAAGGGCAGCGAGGTGACACTGCCGGAGCTCGGCCCGACGAGCAGCACAATGTCGGCCCCTTCGAGGTGTGAAAGCTGGATCATCCCGCCGGAGGGATAGGCCGCCGGCCCGATGGGGGCCAGTAGTGCCACGGTCGATCCCGGCAGCAAGTATGTTGCAATCCCCTCGGGGCCGATATCCAGCGTGGCCGGTGCAGGGGGCCCGGCTCCCGCCGACAGGGGGGACGAGTGGACGGGCGTGGCGGCCGGCAGGGTGGCACGCGACGCCGGGGTACGTCGACGCCGGGGCGGTGCGCCAGCATTCCCAACTGCCTGGGCCTCGGGCAGGGCCAGCGTGGGGGCCAACTGTTCGCGCTGGCCGAGGGCCAGGTGCCCGGCGGCGAGCTCCAGCATGCGTTCCGATCGGGCAATATCCATCGGCGGGAGGCGGCCAGAGGCATCAGCAGCGGCGCTCTGCCGGAGGATTGCCTGTACCGCATTCAGGGCAGGCTCCACCAGCTCCGGCCGGGCCGACGGAGCAAGAGGCGGGAGCAGGCGCTCCAGTGCTGCCAGTGCGGTCGACAGCTCCTCCATCAGCTGAGCCCGGGCGCTGCGAGTGCGCGCCTCTGACCGATGTGTCCAGGAGCCATCCATCGGGAGAGCGGGGGATTGTTGCGGGCTTCGTGACCGAGAAGGAACCGTGCAGGGCGTGTGGTGTGATGAGGTGGCGGAGGCGCGGGCCGAGGATCCCCGAGGGGCGTGGAGGCAAGCAGGCAGTCAGGCAGACAGGCGGGGAGAGAGAGAGAGAGAGAGAGAGAGAGAGAGAGAGAGAGAGAGAGAGAGAGAGAGACAGAGGCAATATGGTGTCCGGCCCAAAGTGCACCCGAGGCAAGGGGGGAGCAGATCAAGGCAGGCACGGAGTTGGCAGCCGGGCCCCGGAAGACTGCCGACGGACATGCCGCCGGCCGCCGCCGGCCCATCGCACGCAGCGGTTGGCGGCCGCGCCCAGGTGCTGGGTCCAGCGCGGGAGATTTGTCAATGGCGTGGGCTTTTTGCGCGCGTGCGCACACGGGCATGGGCGGACAGCCGCGCCTCGGGGCAAGGGTCTGTATCTGCGCGCGCGCGCGGGCACGCGTCCTCGTGTGTGGGCACTCCTCCTCCCCCCCCGCCCCGCCCTTGGGAAGCAGGGGTGGGGATGCCTTTTTTTTTTCCATCAAGGCCAGGCCGTTTCTGGCCGGTCACAGGCGCAAACAACGCGAGGCCGCCTTCTTTCCCTCCTCCTGGAGCAGATGGGATAGGCATAAGGCCGAGGCCTCACTGGCGATGGGGCCGGTCGCACGCGCTCCCTCGCCGGTGGCAGACACCGATGGCTCGTGAGAGCCAAACAAAGGTCCTGTGTCCCATGTGGCGGCCAAGACTGGCCGGTATGTGTGTGTGTGTGTGTGTGTATATGTATGTGTGTATGGGGGGGGGGGGGGGGGGGGTGTTGCCTCTCCTACACTTGGACCCCTCAGGTCGGGGCTCTCTTCGGATGGATCCACCCGAGGAGGCGGCCATTTCGGCCACCCCCGACCCCGGCAGCTGACTTGCTTCGCACGCAACACACCTTGGAGCCCGAGCAGCACAACTGTAAGCCTCCTCTCCCCCCCCTCCCCCCCTCCCCTCTATCTCTGCCTCTCCTTTCGGTCCTCCTTCTGTACTCTCGCCGCCTCCTTTCCTGGCCAGTGCTCTTTCTCCCTTCTCCTCTTCCCCCACGTGCGTCCATGTTCCCCTGGTCTTGCCGCTTGTCTCGGCCTTCCTTCTTCCCCCGCTTGTCGCCCCTTCTCTCTCGTACCCCCCTGACTCACTCTCATGCACAGATCCTCCTGTGGCCCCGGCCCTGAGCCACCGCGCGCGCGCGCGCTCTTTCTCTCTCTCTCTCTCTCTCCCCCCCACCTCTCCCCCTCTTGCTTCCCTCCTCCCTTATCCCATTCAATCGCTTCCACCATGGGTGTCCCTGGCTTCTTCCGCTGGATCACCAAGAAATACTCCAAGTTAACGACCCCCTGCCATGAGGTCCAGCCGAAGGTCGTCAACGGCGTCACCATCCAGGTGGACGCCACTCAGCCGAACCCCAATGGCTTCGAGGTGGACAACCTGTACCTGGATATGAACGGCATCATCCACCCATGTACCCATCCGCCGGGTCGCGTACGTGGCCACATTCGTCTTTGTCACCGGCTGCCCGCCCCCCCCCCCCCCCCCCTGTCTCTCTCTCTCTCTCTCTCTCTCTCTCTCTGTCTTTCTCGCTTGCTCTCGGTTCCGGTCTTTTGTTGTTGCTTGACCCCTTACCCTTGTCGATTGTGTCCCTCTCACTCTGGCCACATGGATTGGCCCCCTGTCTGTGGCATCCATGCTCCTGACCATCGGCCCCTCCGCAGCCCGCTCCTGAGACCGAGGAGGACATGTTCATCGAGATCATGAACTACATTGACCGGCTGTTTGCCATCGTCCGCCCTCGGCGTGTCTTGTACATGGCCATCGATGGTGTGGCCCCGCGTGCGAAGATGAACCAGCAGCGCTCGCGGCGCTTCCGCAGCGCCCTGGAGGCACGCGAGCTGCGCGCCAGCCAGGAGGCCATTCGCGAGGAGGCCATCAAGCGGGGCGTCCCGCTGCCGAAGCCCTCAGCCCGGAAGATCGACTTCGACTCGAACGTCATCACCCCGGGCACCGCCTTCATGAGCAGTCTTTCGGAGTTCCTGCGCTTCTATGTGTCGAAGAAACTGTCGTCCGACCCCGCGTGGAAGGATGTGCGTCATGGCTGGGGGAGGGGGAAGGGGGGGGGGGGGTACTCTTGTTTTCCCAGCTGCCGGGCCGATGAGCTAACATGCCGCTTCGTCTCGCCGCTGCCTCTCAGCTCACGGTCTTCCTGTCGGATGCCAATGTCCCGGGTGAGGGTGAGCACAAGATCATTGATTACATCCGTCGCCAGCGGAATCAGCCGGATTATGACCCGAACACGCACCACGTTCTGCATGGCCTCGTACGTTCATTGGCCTGGGCGTGGGGGTATCCCTTTTCCTTCTTCTTATCCGTCAGATCCCCCTCGTCCCCTCTGCCTTCCCCCCTCCCCCCTTTTTCCCTTTCCTCCTACTAACTCCGGTCCTCTGGTCGCTCTTCCGGTTCCCCGCCTCCTTGGTCTTGCCTCGCTGCCCGGTGTGCCAGGACGCCGATCTCATCATGCTTGCCCTGTCCACGCACGAGTTGCACTTCACCATCCTGCGTGAGGATGTCTTCGGCCAGGCGCAGGCGGCCCCTCGGTGCTTCTTGTGCCAGGGCGTCGGCCATGAGCCGGAGGAATGCCGTGGTGTTTCGGAGGATGGCCGGCCGCTGGGCATGGCCCCGCCGGCCCCGCCGCCGGTGAAGTTCCTCTACTTCCATGTGAGCCGCCTGCGTGAGTACCTCTACCATGAGCTCACGGTGCCGGGGCTGCCCTTCGCGGAAAGCCCGGAGCGCGCGGTCGATGACTGGGTCTTCATGTGCTTCTTCATCGGGAATGACTTCCTGCCGCACCTGCCCTCTCTTGATGTGCGCGAGGGCGCGGTCGATGCGCTGGTGGAGATCTACAAGCGTCTGCTGCCGCGCTTTGGCGGGTATCTCACCAACAGCGGCCAGGTTGACCTCCAGCGGCTGGAGCTCTTCTGCCAGGAAATCGGCCAGCTGGAGGACAAGACCTTCGGTGCGCGCGCGCGCATTCAGCAGGCCAAGGAGCGCTCGCAGCGCGAGCGCCAGGAGCGCCAGCAGGCCGCCGGTGGTCCGCGCGATATTGCCCCCCTGAATGAGGACCTCGAGGAGGATCGCATCATGTTTGACCAAGAGGGCTGGAAGAACCGGTGCGTCTGATTGTTGTTGCAGCCGCTGCTGTTGTCTTTTTTTTTTTTTCGTGGCCGATTGGCCAGCCTCTTTACTGATTGATTTGGTGTTTCCATCCCCTTCGCCCTGGTGCTGTGTGCATCGACGTCGGCCTGTGTGAATATGCATGCATCTTTTGTCTCGCTTGCCCTCCGCTCACAGCTACTATCACCGGAAGTTCCATCTTGGCACGCCATACTCGCTGGATGAGGAGGCGGTGACCGGGATCGCCAACTCCTACGTGGAGGGGCTGTGCTGGGTGCTGCTCTACTACTACCAGGGTGTTCCGTCCTGGCGCTGGTATTATCCGCAGCATTATGCGCCCTTTGCTTCGGACATGAAGGTGCGCCATTCTCGCGCCGTGCGCGCGCGTGCGAAGGGGGAGGGGGCCTCTCCCTCCCTCCCTCTCTCTCTCTCTCTCTCTCTCTCTCTCTCTCTCGGCCTTTCGGGTGCTCGTCTGTCCCCCAGCTGCTGGCCATGCCCGACTGACCCTGCTGTTCTCTTTTCATTTGTGGCGTAAAAAAAAGCACATCTCCTCGATGAACATCGATTTCGGCGAAAGCCAGCCTTTCAAGCCTTTTGAGCAGCTGATCGCCGTCTTCCCGTCCGATTCGTCGCATGCCCTGCCGAAGCCCTTTGCCGCGTTGATGACCGACGAGAAGTCCCCGATTGCGGATTTCTATCCGACCGATTTTGAGGTCGATCTCAATGGCAAACGTGTACGTCTCCAGCAGCGCTCGACGCTTTTTCGCTTTTCCCCCCCCCTTCCCCCCCCCCCCCCCCCCTCCCCTGCCACCTGCCGCCTTTGGTGTTGTCTGTCTGTCTGTCCCTACCCTGTCCTGTTTCTGATCATCCCCGCTCCACGCCCCCCCCCCTCCCCCTCCTCCTCCCCACTCCTCCTCCCTTTTGGGTGCCCTGCATGGGGCATGATCCCAGTTTGCCTGGCAGGGTGTGGTGCTGCTGCCCTTCATCGAGGAGAATCGCCTGCTGGAGGCCACGCGGGCTTGCGAGCACCTGCTGACCGAGGAGGAAAAGCGTCGGAATTCCCTGGGCACTGACCGGGTGTTCATCTCGGACAAGCATCCGATCTTCGACTTCTTTGTCCAGACAGTCGGGGCGTCGTCGTCGTCGTCGTCGTCGCTGGCCCTGCCGGAGCCGACCGCGGCCGATGCCTCGCAGGTGACCGTCGTGTCTACCTCCGCCGATGAGGTTGATGGTGGCTTGCCTCGAATCACCGTGGAGCTCGAAACCGTTGAGGCCACCTCGGCCGGCATTGCATCCGATGGTGGCACCTCCACCGAGGCCGCCTCCACCGAGGCCGCCTCCGCCGAGACCGCCTCCACCGAGACCGCCTCCACCGAGGCCGCCTCCACCGAGATCGTCTCGGCCAAGGACGCCTCCCTAGCCAGCGGGGCCACCGACAGTGGTGACGATGGGCCCGAGTCGCCGGACGCCGCGGACTTGGCCGCCGGCTGGAAGCGCCTCCCTCGGACTTGGACCACGCTTGCCGGACTCATCAAGCCCGCTGGTGGGAATGCCACCATGCCGGCTGAGCTGACTTTCCCCCCGGCGCGGGTGTACAAGGACCGTGGCCTGCCCCACGGTGCCGAGGATGATAGCATTGACGAGCGTCTGGAGCCATTCATTTCTTCGGCCCTGTCGGCCCTCTTCAAGTGCCCTTCCTTCCCGGAGGGCTTTGTCTTCCCGGCGCGTGCGCTGTCTGGTGCCAAGCAGCCGAAGAAGGTTCGTCTTCGTGGACTTCCGTCTCCTGTCCTCTCTTTCTTTGGGCATCCCATTTTGTGTCATCCTTCGTCCCGCCGCCTCATGTTGCCTGTTTGTTTGGCCGGATTGCTAACCGAGCCACATGACCCGATCCTCTCGCCGGCGATAGGTCGTGTCTGGGGACGATCTCCAGCGCATCCCCCGGTCGCACTACATTGCACTGGGTCCGCGCGGGCGTGACGACCGTCGCGACATGTCCGGCCCCGGGCAGCATCCATCCAAGCGCCACCGCGGTGGGGATGGCGGCTTCCATGGCGGCCCGCGTCATCGTGGCGGGGACTTCTCCGCGGATCATGGGGGCTTCCCGCCGAATGGCCCGCCTCCTCCGCATCATGGCCGGGGCGGTGGCTACCGCGGCGGCAATGACGGATACTATGGCGATGGTGGCTATGGTGGTGGCTACCGCGGTGGCAATGATGGCTATCGTGGCGGTGATGGCGGTAACTATCGTAACCATGACGCTGGCGGCTATGCCGGTGGTGGTGGCGGTGGTCATGGCGGCTACGGCGGCCATGACGGTCGTGGTGGCTATGGTGGCCCTGGTGGTTACGGCGGCCCTGGCGGCCCCGGCGGCTACGGTGGCGGCCCCGGCGGCTACGGTGGCGGCCCCGGTGGTCCTGGTGGCTACGGCGGCCCTGGTGGCTACGGCGGCCCTGGTGGCTACGGCGGCCCTGGCGGCCCTGGCGGCCCTGGCGGCCCTGGCGGCTACGGCGGTCCTGGCGCGCCTGGTGGCTATGGCTACGGCGGCCCTGGTGGTTACGGTGGCCCTGGCGGCCACAGCGGTCCGGATCATGGCGGCTATGGCGGTCCTCCCTCGCGACACAATGGCGGTCGGTATAATGATCAGCCGCCTCAGCGGCATGCTCACCGGCGCCCGGCGCCTCCGCAGCATGGCCACCAGTCGCACCGCTCGCAAGGCGGGCGCCCTCCCTTCGACAATGACCTCGGCAATCCCGCCCTGAGCATGCAGTACCATGGGTTTGATGCTGGGGCGGGACCGGCTCACGAGTCGGCCAATGCCCCCTTCTACATGGGCCCCTCTTCGCATCACGATGGCCCGCCAGCCGACTCGCGGAGAGGTGCTCACTCTGCCCCGGCCCCGGGGCCGTATTATGGTGGCCCGCCACCCGGCGGCCCGCCTTCCCACCCAAGTGGAGGTCCTCCTCCGCCGGGTAAGCGCTTCTCCTTCAAGCGCTGAGAGCGGCCCCTTCCCCCTCTTCTATCTCGAAGGCGGCCTGCCCTTGCCGGACAATGGGATTTCCCCCACTGCCCTTCTCCCTCTTCTTCCATCTGTTCTCACTCTCCCGAGAGCCCTTTCTCGCTGTGACACTCTTCCCCCCCCCTGCCTCTTTCTTTCTTTCTCTCTCCCTCCCCCCCCCTCTCTCTCTCTCTCTTTCTCTCGAAATGCGTCGACCCGCTGGTGAGCGTGGCGTTGGAGGAGCAAGACAGCCAACAAGAGGCAACCTTTTTAAACAAGATTTCGATACCCCTGCGTGTTTGCTTTTTCCTCGATTCACCTCGCTCCTGCCCCCCGTGCTTTCTCTCCGGCCAGAGGGGGGGGTGTTCAGCCGGCGGCATGAGCCGAGATCGATCAGATGCCAACGTATCATTTCTCCTGGGCGTCCAATGAGCGCCGGTCGGGCAAAAGCGCAAGGGGACTGGCCAACGCGCGGGCCTTTTGGGGTTGGATAGGGTGCGCCTGTGCGCCTGTGTGCCTGTGCGTGCTTGTGCGGGGCAAGGGTGTGTGTGTGTGTGTGTGTGTGTGGCTATTTGCGGGTGCCTGTGTGCAGGGAACGGGAAAAGGGGCTGCCGACCGGCCCCGTTCAACAGGCGTGGCTGTGGCTGAGGCCCAGAGCCTCGGGGCAAAATACACCGCCCAGCCTTCTCTTCCTTCATCGCCTCCCTCTCGCTCTCCCCGCCCTCCCTTCGGTCTCCGAGGCCGGTCAGCTCTCTTTATCCTCCTCTCCCCCCCCCCCCCCCCCCCCGCGCCGTTTCTCTTTCCCCTGCTTCCCTCTGCTCCACACCACCCCTATTCTTGAGCGGCTGCAGCCCCAGCATGGAGTCGGGTTCCGACTTGCCCGCGGGCGGGCGTCCGCCCCAGGAGTTGGTCGTTCGTCCGGATCAGGCCGATCCTGCCTCTGCATCACGGCCAGCCGGTGCGTCCCATGGACATGGTCTTCTACTTGTCTTCTGCTGGTCTTGCTCCGCCTCCGCGCCCCACTGACGGAGGCTGCTCCTCTCCCAAACACCCAACCTCCCAGGCCCCCGACAGATTGAGCAGGATGATGTGGCCCAATTTTGGGAGCAGCAATACGAGTGGGTACGTATCTGACAGTTCCTTTTTTTTTTTTTGCCCCGGGACCGCCCATTGCTCCCGCGGGAATCCACCCACTACCTTCGCCATCTCTGCCAGCCTTTCTTTCTCTTTCTCTTTCTCTCTCTCTCTCTCTCTTTCCCCCCCCCCCCCCGCCTAACCATGCATTGTCTTCGACCGTCTTGCCATCAGATTATGAAAATGTCTCCCACCGAGTTGCGGACCCACGAGCTCCCATTGGCCCGGACCAAGAAGATCCTCCGCAACACGACCGACATCATGAACTGTGGTCCAACTGCACCAGGTGGGGGAACAGCAGCGGCAGCGGCAGCAGCGGCGGCGGCAGCGGCGGCGGCGGCCGCTGCAGCGGCGGCCGCCGCCGCCGAGGCAGCCGCCGGCAATGGCACTGCTCCCGCTCCCCAGGGCGAGGCGCACCTCCATCCCCATGCCGGCTATGCGTCTCATGGTTCGGAAGCCGCCGGGGGACAGAACCCGATGTCGGCGGCCACGGTGGCCGCGGTGGCGGCGGCCGCGGCGGCGGCGGTGGCCGCGGTCACCGGCGGCGATCCTGCCGGCACGGCGGACAAGCAGGATGACGGGTTTGAATCCGGCGATCTCTTGTCCACCGGGGCCGCTCCTCTGTCGATGATGCTGAGCAGCGAGCTACCGCGGGTGATCTCGCGAGTGTGCGAGCTTTTCGTCCTGGACATCACCCGACGTGCGTGGGTCATCGCACAGGAGAGTGATCGGGCACGCGAGCCCCCGGCCCCGGCGCCCGTGGCCCCGGGGTCCGAGACATCGGATCAACCTCCTCCGCGCCGGCGCGGGCGCCCGCGCGGGACCAGCTCCGCACAAAAGTGCACAAAGCGTCACCGAATCCTTCAGAAGGATCACGTCGTGCGGGCCATTACCAGCTGCGATGTCTTTGATTTCCTGGTCGACCTCATTGGCCCATCTATTCAAAAGGGTGACACCGCGGGGCCGGCCCCGCCTCGGTAGGCATCTTCCCGGCTGGCTCCGTGTCAAAATCCCAAATAGCAACACCGGTGGCAAGACCCCCATCGATGCCAAGCATGTTCATGTATTTGCCACACGTGGGGGTGGCACTCGCCTCCCCGGTGGCGGAGGCGGCGACAAGGCAAGGCAGGCGCACATTGGCATCCCGGGCGAGAGAGAGAGAGGCCGGAGCAGGGGGAGGAGGGGAAAGGGGGAGAGGGGGAGCAACGGAAGGGGAGCCTCAAGGGGGGGGGGGGAATGGGGGGGCATTGATGCGGATCATGATTAGCCCCAAACGAAGGGGGGATTTGGGAGCACAAGTTCACGGGAGAGCGGGAAGCGAGGGGAATGGAGAGGCCGCTACTCATTCGCCTTCGGGGGTAGAGTCGCCGGCTTCGCGCACATGCAGGCGGGCTCTCCGCGTCAGGACCAGGCTGCTGGCCTTCATGGCGGTCTCGCGCAAGACCACCCGCAGGTCGGCCGCGTCGAAATCCTCGTCGGCGGAGGGATTGCCCTCGGGTGCGCCATTTGGACAGTGCTTGGCATCGGAGAGGTTCACCTGGACCAAAGCCCGGAGACCGACCGTATGGAAGTGATTCGGGTTGAGGTCTACACAGCCGGCGGGTGGTCAGTGGACGGGGGAGCCCATGGGCCGGGAGGAAACCGGCAAAGTCGGAGGGGGTATCCAGGGGCGAAAGTGTCGGCGAGATGGGCACGCACTCTTCATGTATTCGATGCACTCATCGGCCAGGGCGCGGTCTTGCAGGACATCCAGACATACCATGCCATACTGCAGGGGGGGAGCCACATTCAGCCAGGGGGAGGGGGTTAGTCCGGGACAGGATGCGACACGGGGAGGCGAAGCAGGAGCGACATAAGGGGCTGCTGAGGCTTGGCCCTGGTCGATGGGTCACACGATCATATACCATTGTCCAGGCGGCCATGGCGTCCGAGCGGATGATTTCCAGCTGGTCGCCGGGGTCGGAGGCCGTCTTCAGGCGAATGTAGCTCTGGTGAATGCTGCGGGCCTTGTCGCGCAGGGAGTCCACCGCCTGGGCGAGAACCTCGTCGGCTGTCTGCTGGCGCTGCTCGCTCGACAACACCGACGACTGGAAGGTCCCGGCGCACTGGGACAGGATGTAAGCCACGCAGATGCGCTGGTACACACGGCGAAGGGAGCCGATGGTCCGGTCCATCTCATCAGCATCGGGATCTGCCTCGACCACTGTGCGGGGATTCGAAGGGAGGAGGGGAGAGAGACGGGGTGGGCAGAGTGGCCGACAGCCAAAGGACCGGAGAAAAGGAAAGAAAGAGCGGAGGAGCAGAGGAGGGAGCGGAGGAGAGACGGATCAGGAGGCCGGCAAGGGGCAAGGGAGAGGATGTGTGCGGCGATGGACAAAGGGAAGGGCGCAAGGAGAGGCCCACTGCAAGAGGCACGGGCCCCGGAAGGCGGCGCACCACAACCCGGCATGTTGACCACAGCGGCCACGGCCTCCGTGACCGAGGGCGACGCGGCCTCGAGGCCGTCGCCGGCAGCCAAATCGGCCAGCTCATCGCGATAGACGCCCGGGTCATCATCAAGGCGTCCCTCGAACACGGCAGCCCGGGCCAAATCACACAGGAGGTAGTTCGCCTCGGCAAGGACCTCCGGCGAGAGGAGGAACTGCGAAATGGCCGGAGTGGGTGCGAAGAGGGAGGCGCCGGCCAGGGCGGCAGTCGCGTCGGCCGGCCGGCCGGCCGCCCGGTTCAAAGCCGCAAAACGCTGGACCAGCCCCAGCAGCACTTGGATGTCATTCGACTGGTAGGCCGCGCGGATGCATGCCCGAGCGGCCTGTGCCTGCTGGACGATGTCGGCATCGGCGCTGTCCGCCGAATCGGAAGACACAACCGACAGCCAGAGCCGGGAGCAGGCCAACGCCGAGCGCCAGTCAACCAGCTCCGACCGGGCAGTCAGTGCCGAGTACAGGGTTTGGAAGACATCCGGGTGGAGGACCCCCTCTTCAAGGAGCTGGGCCAGGCGCGACACCAGGGCATCGGCGTCGGCGTCGGCGTCGGGGCATCAGAGGGCGTCGGGGCATCGGCGCGCGCACGAAGTGCCGCATTGGTTGTGATGCAGGACAACCAGCGTCCGGGACAATTGGAGGGAGGGAAGGGGGAAGAAAAGAGACGGAGGAAAGAGGAAGGGAGCTTGCGGAGTTAGCACTGGTACCCGGGCACACATTGGAGCCATGAATC